TTTTCCACAACAATGTCTGATTTTTTTTACAAATATTGGTGCATCTTTATACAAAGTACCCTCCATGACACATGAAGCCCATAAAGGAAACTATTGAATCATTCCCAGCTGTTATCACCTTCTCTGCCTGTGATTCTCCAGTTTTAATACCTTGTCAGACATATTAAACTCCTCTGTGGTACAGCATTTCACGCCCATTCCCCTCCCTGCCTTGGATTAAAAAGAAAAAAAAAAATCCCCTCTGAAAGCCATTTATAAATAGAACATGGTATCACTCTGAACATATTTTTGGATAAGGAGCTAAAGTTGCTAAACTTTCAGATTTTTTTTTTTTTTGCCTTCTACTGCTGCTGTCACCAGAGTTTTAGCTTCGTTTGTCAGATGGCGTCATGCAGCTGTATAGCCAGCATATTCGGATTTGGGTCGACCACCGAGAAAATGCAGCTCCAGATTTGTCTCAGTTGTTTCTATGACTCACAATAACAGGTTTTTTAATAGAGAAATCCAGAGAGCTCAACTTCAAAGGGGGGTTAATTTAGATCCTCTCAGCATTTGCCGCTCTGCCACAACCTTTACATGAGAGGAAGAGAGGATTTTTACGGCTTTAATTTGTTTTTCTGCACTTAAACTTCAGAGAGAGTTTGGTTTTACAGCATTAAAACAAAACAAAAAAAGGAATAACAAGAAAAAAAAGACAAATAGTGTTCCCTGAAAAGAGGCAAAAACCTGGAGAGTTAAATAACTGCGACCTGATTTCTCCTAATTTTTCTCTAGTTCTACAGCTGACAAGAAGATCAGCATCCTGACACACACTGTACTTGGGAATTTATGAGATTTCCCCACACTGCCAAAAATGAAAGGAGGGTACGGTGCATGGCATGTGGCAATAGATGAACTGTAAGGAGAGCCTTTGGGGTCTGCCTAATGAGGAGGATTAGGGAGCTGTGATGGGGCCGGTTGTCGGGCGGCCCCAACTTGGCCACTGGGAAACTGAAATAGGATGGAAGAAGTGGAAGCGCAAGTCAAATTTCAGGCTGGATTGTTTAATTGACAAGAGCAATCGAGGGATCGCAGGGTTATACTAACGTTATCATCTCCTTGATGACCTCCTGAGAGAAGATTGAGCGAGAAGGCAATTTAAAGTCCAGAAATGTCTTTTATTTCCCTGCAGAAATATTTTCTACCCTCAGGGGCATATTTACACTGTAAACTTAATTTGAACCTATTAGAACCTATTTTACCACTTTACTGTTCCTATAGTGACACAGAGCTACATATATTTTCAGAAGAAAGTGTCTGACCATTGCACTCCTGACAGGTTGTTAAAGAAAATTCTGCTATTGCAGAGTGAAAAAAGACATTTTTGACAGCCTGGATTTAACTAGTTAAGTCTCACCACAACATTTGAGAAGAAACGTGAGAAATCTCAAGTCAAGTCACCAAATACATTTTTGACTACTTTGCTGGGTGTGATCACCAGTTAGTGAGCAATTTTAGGCTAAAAGTTTACAGCATATTTTTATGACAAGCTTTTATGACAAGCTTTTTAGTATGTAATGCTTAATTTTCCTAGGGTATAGAACTGGGACGACACAGACGGCCATTTTGTTAACAACTCTTAAAAATAGTACTCATAAGAGAACATGACATTGAAGTAAAATTGATGTGTGTCGATATTTCTGATCTAGAAAATAGCTACAGAGATAGAAGACAATCTCTTTCCAAGCCTCAACCTAATTGTTTAAAGTTCTGCGATAAGACTGTACTGATTTCTCTTCGTCAAATTAAGTTGCCAACTAAATAATACTAGACTGTAAAGACCTGATCACAGAAGTAACAATTAAAAGTAGTGTGGCCTAAAGCAAATCTGTATGCCACCTTATCTCAAAAGAAACAGGAAAACAAAGGAAGATGAATTAAGAGACTCGAACTCCAGAGAGTTCATTTCCTAACAAAAGAAAACAAGTTGACATCGCCTGACAGAGATCCACTAGAACAAAGGAAAATTTATTGTAAGAAATTGAGCAAATTTCAGATCTACTGTCAGCCTCTCCACCTTGAAAACAAAAAATAATGTGTGAGCGAGATACAAAAGCACTATGTACTAGTAAGATTATGTGAAATTATTATGACATGGTTTAGATGTATAGAATAAAGTCTCCTTTATGGGTTAAAAATATAGACTTAAAAAATATAGTGATATTAGTGATATTTTCTGATGAAGGTTTGAATTTTTTTTGGGGGGGAGGGCTGTCACTAGAAGCAATAGACACCCAAATGTAAGCAAAAAAGGTTGAAAACAAAATATTCTGTGTAATGTCATACCACAAGCACTCATCTTTGAAAAACCACTAAAGTTTATCCATAGAGTTTGTATTTGCAGCAGCTGTTTATCGAAAGTACTGACATTTTGCAAATTTTTGCTTGTGATCAGTTCAAGCTAGTCATAAAATGAACCGAATATGTTCATACTTTATAAAAGCTTGTACCTATGAGGTTCTTCAGCTGAAAAGCTTTCATACAAATCACTGCTAATAGTACCCACAAAAGCAACCTAGCAATTAGTTAAGGGAAAAGCAATAAATGCTTGGAGATACTGCTAAGTTCAGCGATGTTCCTGCAGTGGCTTTGTTAATGTCATGCTCCTCATGCAAATCCTTTCCTATATAGTACACCTCTGCTGTAAATGTAACTCGCAAAGACTGAATTAGAGGGTCCAGCATAGTCACTCTACTTTAATAAGATGCTAATGGTATTTAATTGTATATATCAATCCAGTAAGTTTTATGTTTCCAAAACAAGTAATATTAATGCATCACACTGACTAAACATCAGTATGACATTTTTGTATTGACCCCGCAAGAATATCAAAGAATTCAGCAATTTTGAGAACATAAAACCCAATTTGCCTAGCAGATTACATCTTAGCTGCAGTTTATTTCATAGTGTGCTAAGAGTCTCCTTGCCACCACTTATCTAAAAGGCCTTATCTGTTTCCACCCTTTAGAAAGCAAAGGTGAGACAATCATGGATTAACTCAATGCCATGGGAGCTTTGCCCCTGGGATAATTAGGAAGAATGACTTCTGCAGGAATAGCACCAAGTGGCACGGACGTTGAATAAGAAAAAGAGAAAAAAATATTTTTATTTTCTAATTTATGCCCTTTGGAATTTGCTGAATGATTGATCTGCTAATAGATATTGTCCATTCATGTTTCCTGTATAACAGATAAGCTACATTTTTACTTGTTAAATATGACAAGAGTTTTATTTGAGATTTTCTACTGTATGTAATTTGTCATACAGTGGAGCTTTCATTGGATTGGACATGTTTAAATTGTTTGTTTCACACCACAGTTGTAAAAAAAAAAAGACCTTTAGATCGTATGAACATTCAAAAGACGGAAGTAGTCTCTTCCATCAGATAGGTTACTGAGGAATAGATTGGTATTTTGAGAGTTACATACTTCCATATACTAACAGCTCTATGCCAAAAGTCTAGTGTTGCCTATTGTTCTGCAACACAATATTTGTTTAGTAATAATAACTGCACTCACAAAATGCAGTTATTGCTTGAAAGCTCTTGGACTTAACAAATATTGTTGGTTTTAGAAAGCAAATCCAAAGCATTAGATATGTGGTGTGACTCAGTCCCCAGTTTGTGTCCCTAATGTTGTGTCAAAGTGTTTGCTTAGCAAAGTGGGTGTTTCTCACTATGATGCATGTCTATCCACAAAAACTGCATCTACAGACGTCTTTAACACAAAAATGTAGTGGAGAGACAATCTGTCAAACAGCCTCCAGTTTTAGCTGTCATGGATGATGATCTTAAAAAAAGGAAATAAAACAGTCTGAAAAATGTTTTCTGTCAGAGAAAATGATTCCAAGTGGAGAAAAAAAAATATGACAGCTAAGTGAGAGGCTGTGATGAATGGACATCATGCAGGAATGCGAGTTTTAACAGATTTTATGCTTTAGAAGAGAAAAATGTTCAGTGTGATGGATCTGCTATGATAATATATCAGGAAAACTTTCTGGATGACATGTTTACCCTTTACGTAGAAGGTACAGGTAATTTTCAAATGGAAAAATATTTTAATCAAGTAAAGTTATACCCATAAAAATGACATAAAAAGAGTCAAAGAGCTACATTTTTATAATAAAAATAAACAATTATAGATTTTAGTGAGATATTTAGGAATTTTTAACTTTTTTTACATTATTAGTTGAAACATCCTACAGCTTAAGACCAAATACATCACCTTACCAAACCGATACACATTTATCTAATTTCACAAGTTGGCATGCTACCACCATACATTTCTGCTGCACTTCTTTGCAAAATATCTCAAACACTATATGACTGGATTAAGAACTCCAGTGGAAACTATTGCCACAGAATTTCAAGAATTAATTTAAGTCTGAAGTTGTGACACAAGATCTTGGTACCTCTGAACCCCATATTGCTAATATCAATCCTTTTTAAAATGAACGCAAAAAAATTATTTTCAGGTTAGTATTTTCTTCTCTCTGATAGATTCTAGATTACAATTAGAGCCATGGGATTGTAGAAGTATAAAAAAAATACAGCATTTTTTTTTTTGCTCATTTCAGTAGATATGTTTTTGAGTTTTTTCCTGGCAACTTTGTCAAAAAGTCTAATGGGTCTTATTTGCCTTACGGTGTTGGTAGCTTATCTCTGGTACAAAAAAAGAAAAAAAAAAGAAAGTTTGATATTTTCCTTGTTGCGTGGTTGACCTTATTCAATTACAGGCCTGACTAGCTACATCTGGTTTAGGCAACCACAGTCTGAACCACAAGATGAACAGCTTCCAAGATCCGTGGGCTGCTAGAGGTAGATCCAACATAATCCTCACATCATCAACACTGCAGTATCCCCACACACCCACCCAGTGCAAAATGAAGGCTGCATAATAATCTAAAACCTAACATCTGTGCAAAACATCTCAGTCGTAGTAAATGAATACATGCATACTCACAAACACAGGCTTCTGCTGTTTGATCAGGTAAGATATCCAAACACATATTGATTCATTTGAGAAATATAGGGTCCAAGTCCACTTTGCATCTTCTTGGCTGTATTTGTCTCGTTTTGGTTTTTCAAGCCACCTTCAAAAACACAGAGAGAAGCACAACAGTTGGTTTGAAGCTTCAGTAATTTATCTTACAAAGTATTAAAACAGCGACAGATGTTTTTTTTTTTTTTTTTTGTCATAAGATATGGCATTTGGTATTATTAGAGTTAGGACATCAAATATTAAAAGTGCACTTTAGAGTCCAAGATGAAACAGAACAGCACCTCTTTAGCTCACGTTGGTTTTTACAGCCCTCCATATCTTTGATTAAAGCCTCCAGACTTAAAGGTCTGTTTAAGGAAAATACAGAAAGGTCAAACAGTGGATGATTCACATCCATATCAAAGGAGTCCATCCTGACAACATATGATCACTTTATAAAAATGAGGAAATCATGAGTTGTGCAGCAATATAAAAAAAAAACAACAACAAAGCATTAACACATCCCCTCATTAAAATGCTGTGACCATGTCAGAGCACATGTCCTCCCAGAAACCCTCTCCCGCTTTTCATCCTAATGAGTGAAGATGAAAGCGTGCCGAGATTGAAACAGACAGGACAGGGTTTTAGCAATATTTATTTGGGAGAAGACTGAATGTTCTGGCTTCAGGTTGAGCTGTCCAAGGTGAGTAAACAAAAGTGTTCCCATTGTCCCTTTGCAATTAGTGCCATCTTTGTTGAATAATACACACATTTTTAAAAGGCAGATTATTCTTAAGATCCTCCATCTGCCAGACATCTAGACAGGATACAAGTGCAAAAATACTGAAATGCTGATTTAATCTAAATCACGTCTAAAAACTTACTATTAACCAGAGTACCAGTTAATATCTTTTATATATATATTTGACAATGTTTATTCTAACAATGGTATTTGATGTAATGTTGCTTGTGTTTATTATGTTTTTTTTTTTGCCATCTAAACCCCAGTAAAATGCACTATACAAATCAACTTGACTTGACTCTTTGGTAGAACTGACTCATGAATGCCAGTGCATCCAAAATTTCCTTAATCGTGTCCTTCATATCAAGTTTATATAAGGGAGTGGGAACTTGCGCTCCGCACCTGTCAGAGTTCTGGATGATATAGATGTATTGCTGTAACTGAGAAGTATGAATAGATATGGAGGTAGAAAAAATGCACATTTTACTTTACAGTATGTGACAAAGTGATTCAGTTTCTGTTCACCGCTTGTCCCTTACTCTTATTTCTGATTCACTTACTTCCTTATAGTTGGTCATAATGCTTAAATTTAAACATTAATTTGAAACTTTGCTTCACTTACTATCCAGGATTTGCTTGTGCAAGCATTATGTTGCAGTTTCTATCTATTTACATGTTTAGGATAAAGCTACTACTTCTTCCTTACCAGTTGAACTGGTTTATTTTGTTTCAAAGTATATTCATGGTATTTGTTTTCCATTTTACTAACCTTGTCGATATGCAGTGTGGCCGGCGTCAAAAGTCACAAATAAAAGTCAGAAGAATCCCGTACCGGTGGCTGATGCTGATGCTGTTTTTTTTTTTTTTGTTCACCTTGCTGATCCTTGACCACACTATTTTACACAATATTAAAATCCTTGGCTCCCAAAATTATGTTGTAATCTCAGACAAAAGTGTCATTAATCATATAGGACTTGAGTACTTGAGTAAACACAAAGGCTCCTACTCCGAGGAAATACCTCCTACCTGTGGGAATAAATAAACACTGTCGCTCAAGAGCTAAAGTATCAGATTTTTAGATGTAAAAGGACTTCTTTGTATCATGTGATTTCTGACTCTCACAGTGACAGCTACAGAATATCCTCCCACAAATCCAATTGACAAGCTCCCTCTGCAGTAAGGGGTTTTACAAAGCTCCAGAGATTTCCTGACTCCCTCGGTTGTAGTGGTTATTTGTTGCCAGGAACACCTCTGCTTTCATTCAAGCAACACAATATGGAAAATGAGATTCTGAAGCCTGGAGGTAGTGCTCTTCATTTTTACACAAACCCACCTACAGCAGCCCAAGCGCCCACCATATCTTGTGGGCTTTCTTTTCTTTTCAGGAGCAAACAGGCATGAAGTTGTGAAAATCCAACCAGAATTGAGGCAGTTAGGGTTTCATTGTGTATAATTGATATACTGTAATTGGTTCATATGTCGCATAAGTCACCAGCAATTGTCAGTTTGATTCATAATTGATAAATTGGAACCAGGGAGGATTTTTTTTTTTTCTTTTCAACACCAGACAACTTTTTAAGCACTTTGAAAACAACAAGTGCGAAACAATGTAACAGTGCAGATACCAGAGAACATGCAAACACAAAATAGCAGATTAGAAGATGAAACCAATAAAACAAGCAGGACAGACAGTAAAACTAAACAAACAAAAAAAATAAAAATCAGAAAATAGTGAATCAAAATACAGACTAAAAATATCTATGAGAAATGTTGCAATATAGTAGGCGTCATCTTTGAGTACCACTTGCACTTGGAAAGTATTTTTCTTTTCAATCACTATCTTTTGGGTCTATTTTCACAATTGAATTAGCACAACATTCATCATTGAGTGTAAAATAAAACTGAGACATAGCAGGTTTGAAGACACGGCAAAAATGGAGCCTTGTAGAGAAGAGGTAAAGATGCAATTATTGAAAGTGACGCCAAAATTGTCACAGAGTTGTACCAAAATAGAGGGAAACTTGTGATCCCCACCCATTATTCTGGTCATTAAGTAGTGAACTCTGCCGAAATCTGTTGGGCTTAATAGCAGAGTTTGTTCACTGTCATCACAGTCTGTTGCTAAAAGAATATAATTAAAAAATCTCAACAAGCTGTTTTTGTCCAGTGGTGAATTTTAAATTCATACTGCAGCACTTACAAGATTGTTTGTTCAGTTGGGAGGGAATTTACTAGGTTGTACCTCTCCCATCTTAGCACATGAAACAGATGAAATGTGTAACAAATAAATCTGAACTAGGGTTACAAATTACTAAAAACAATTCAATATTCAAGGAGAAGTTGGACGATGGATGGATGCTTGTTTTAAAGTATTCATTTCATAATATTAAAGTCATTTTAATTCAATTCTTACTTTAGTTTATGTCATGCTTTGTCGTGCTTTGTTCAGCAGTTTGGGTTCATGTTGTTTGCAAAGTGGGCTATAAATAAGGCTGAGAACATGTCCTCTTAAATGCATGCAAGCGCACACAGAAGGACCCCATCAGGCTGGCGGCTTTGAATCTTCTACTTTCCAGCTGCAGTCAAAACCGATAAATATATGTTTGTGTCATCAATCCTGGTGGGCTCTGGAGTAGGAATGTATTGTGCAGGCTATAAATCATTCTTCCTGCATTTACTTGTCATGTCAGCATGACAACTCGGAAGTCCAAAGAGAGCCTACAGGACTATGTAAGGTTTAAATAAAGGTGGCTGTGAATACATAAAAAGTAAGGTCACATATGTTAAAAGGCTAATAATCCAAACATTCAGTCTATGACATGTATGACAGAAATGTCTTTTTTTCTGTGAACATTCTGTGAAATAAACTAAGAAGGTCATAGAAGGTTGAACGTCAGCCAGAACATCTATTAAAGCTTTAGCTTTTGGTGAAATATCTTGGGGAACGTTGGATGGAGAAACTCATCAGGGGGACATGAATGTTTTAACAGAATCGTCTTTACAACATTTTAAAGTTTTTGACCAATAAGTAGCACTAAATAAAAACGTTTTGTGGGTTCCAAGTGTGCTTCATCACCCCATTGTTGTGTGGGGTGATGTTGCTTCTAATGTGATGTTTGTGAAATACTTTCCGACCAAACAAGATTAAGAGGAACAAGGTCAATGGACTACTTCTGTTCATGACCAGCGTCGGGATGTTATAGTAGTTATAATCAACACTCTTACAGTCTTACAAACTGGGTTCAAAATATGAATTAGGTTAAGTTGCCTTTTTTTCAACAGCAGGCAAAAAGTTATCCACAGATATGTTGTATTTAGCTTCGCTCATCTCTCAGTCAACTCACAAGCTTCCCTGCCACTGCGGGAGAGACGCATCCCTGCAGAATAATGCTGCCATTCCTCTTTATTGCCTTAACTATGGCTTGCTCATGCTGATGTGCTGTGTTAATATTCTGAGACACATAGAAGGTTGAACGTCAGCCAGAACATTTATTAAAGACTAAAACCGGGAGCTGACTCCACACGAGAGACGCAAAAATAACTAAAAGATGTGTCTCCCATTCTGCTTTCAGAAATTCTAGGAACCACCAGCAAACCTGGCAAAGCAAAGAGTTCTGCTAGAAACATGTGGAACAATCAGTTCTATGATGTGTGATGAAGCTTGGTTATTGAGGGATTTATTTGCGAGCAGGAGTGCTCTAGTTTCTATCCTGGATTTAACAAGGAGCCAACGAAAGGAAGCTAATATATGGGAAATATGATGTCTCCTTTTTGTTTTCATCACAACTCTTGATGTAGCGTTTTAGATCAGCTGAAGGGTGGGTTGTCAAAGAATTCATGAAATATTTAAGTATCGCTTTAAAACAACCACAGCAATACATCTTTACAGAGCCACTCGATACCAACAGTGGACTCCTCTTAAATTAAGCTACAGCTTGTGTTTCACTTGTTTGAAACAAGATGTCTACCACTGACTCCAATGGCCTTTTAACATTGAAGATACATTTCAACAATCCAGTAGTAGAGAAGGCATTACAGAATCCTTGAAATTTGTGACTTTGTCAACTCTTTAAAGTTTATTCACAAAGGCTACACGTGTTACTCCATACCTGTCCAAATTTGGCTTATCAAAGACCTGCAGGAATGGTCTGTAAGTCACATCCAATATTTGTCTGCAAATACCCATCACAGAAAAATGACAGGTAGCTGGATATCCTGCGACATCTTCTATCTGCAGGGATTTGCATACGTGTCAACTGAGCTGCAAACGAGGCGCCTGAAAGATTTGGGGTCAGATTAAACACTTTGTACATCCTGCTGTTGTTTTGATCTCTGCAAAGGACTCGGCTTCATGAATGCTAATGAAAGGT